TCTGGACTTCAAACCCACTGCTGGCTTTTTATCCGCGGACCAAATGTTCTGTCTTGTCAGATTCCGTTACATCTCTGAGCAGACTGCTGCAGGCCTACTGATGCTTTTATCTCCACGGAGCAGACCGAAGGAGCCATAACGACGGCTTTCTCCGGCCTCGGCCCCGGATGACGAGGGACCCGCGGTGCTCTCCCACCAGCAGCAGCCATCAACAGCCCCCAGATGATGGGAAAACAATGTGACCGCATCACGCTTTGGACTTCAGGCCCCAAAACTTTTTCTCCGACAAAGAACGCAAAGTTTTACCAGCAAACACTGTCACGAGGGCTTCGAAACTATTAAGGACTCACAATTGTACTCACAATTGTATCGTCGTTCCTAGAGGATTCTGGGAAGTCTGAATTTTCTGGTAGGGTTTTGAACAAGCCTTGACTGGACTTGGAGTCATTGAGCAGAATTTCAAACGCAGAGACCTCAGTTGCGTCAGTCATCGTTCCAGTCCAATTTTCTTTGGCTGCTCTGACAAACACGGAGAAAAAAAAACCCTCCAGCCTCCGGGTCATTGGGAATGTCTGGATATTACGACCTGTATTAGACCCGTATAGTTTTAGTCAAGCTACACATTACTTATGCACACAGTTCCTAAGTATTTGTACTCGAGTGGACACACGTGGGTGTCTTTTTTCCGTCTTTACGGCCTGAACTTTCATGTGTAAAACGGCGTCCTGCAGGGACTCGCGGATCGGCAGCGGCTCGTAATTCATTTGGGAAAACATTCATCCTCTAATGGCCGGCTCTGCCAGTTTGAGCCTCTAATGCTAATTTCCTCAGACAGCTCTAACTTATGATGAGCAGAAATGGAGGCTTAAAATTTACATAATTCTTAAAGAGTTTGCAGAGGAGAGGGATTTGGACACACTCGGACATCAAATAAACATGCCTGCAAAGATTCCAACTGCTTCCATCAACAGATCAAAAAACCCTCTAAGAACATCAATTTATTTCTGGATATGTGCTTAATAATATAAATGAGTCATAATTTAGTATAAGAATAAGAAATATTATTACCTTTTTGGGTGAAATGCATTTTTTTTTCATGTCTTAAGGAATCTGCCTCATGTAGCTCTTTAAAGTTTATCAGCTTGTAAAATCTACAAATCACAGTGCCAATATAAATCACATAACTGGTGATAAACCTCTGTGTAAATGTTGAAAGAAAATGGTGAACTGAAACATTTTAATATTGACACTAAGGTGCAAATGACAAAGCAATGAGAGTGTCTTTTCAAATAAAAGCTGGCTTGAAAAAAAGAGCAATGATGTAGTCAAATCATCAATCATCGTTTGCAGCTCAAAATCCCTCATCCATCATTTCATCAGAACAACCAGAGCAGGGGGACAGTCAGCTAATGAAAAGCCCAGAAGGAAAGTGATGAAACTGCTGTCAAACTAGAACCCAGAGTTACAAAACTTTTAGTTAAATAGCAGAGTGACATGTGATTTGAACTAATAATAAAAAAAAAATCGTCAAATGGAGGCTGTGCTGTGCAGCTAATCCTGACAATGAAAATTGGCCTGTCCATCCAAGAGCTGTTGTTTTATGAAACTTTAAACTGTACAGTGAGCACAGTGAATGAATCTGGAAATGGTTTGCGGTTTCTATAAACTTTAGGTTTCCGGGAACCATTCTTTTGCTGCAGAACTCCGGCATACACAGAGGATTGTTGTTTCGGGGAGAGCATCTGCTAACAGAGAGAAAATTAAAACCTCAGAAGAAAAACTGAAAAGGGAAGCATGTCCATTTCTGAAACTGGCAGGGTTTGAACAAAGTTTAAAGGGTTTTTCCACACTTACAAGCTGCCGTCTGCTGCAGAGAGCTCATTTTAAGAGCTGTCTTTGCTCCCGTTAGTTTCAGATATATGTGACTTAGAACATTAATATTTAAATACTGCTGATGTGTTTGAAGATTAGTTGCAAATCCTGCAGAAATTGAATCAGCATTTCATTTTCCATTATTTCCATTATTATATCTAAACAAACGCCTTTAGATTTGGAATTAAGCTGCAATTACTGGCAGCATTTGCAGCTATAGCTCATCACAAATACCAAAGATATAAATCTCTCATAAATTTGTGTAAAAAATGTAAGAAAATCATTGAACATGTCAAACGAATATGTATAAAATCCGAGGGAAAGGCTCTAATATATTTTTTGGAACTCAGAAATGCGTCAAAAGAGTCAGAATGGATGGTACGGAGAGTGTGTTTGTCGGTCCTCTGAAGATAACAATATCCAACAATGCAGACAGCAGATCCTGAATGCCATCTCTGCTTCTGAGAGGAGAGTAAATGGGGCTTATTTACCTCCAGCATTCTTCCGGTAATGACATCCCTGGAAAGGAATCAGGCTTCAGGGAACAAACGCAGTCAGCTGAGAGCTCTCACACAAACAACGAAATGATCGTGTGTGAAGGAGCTGTGTGTGTGTGTGTTTTTTGTTGTTGCCCTGTGTGTATATTTGATCGGAGAGTGGAGGAGGTGGTTGTGTTTGTTGGTCCTGCAGGTATCCTCTGGGACACCGTGATAAAAGAGCATTTAACATGGGCAGAAACAAGTGTACACATGCTGCGAGAGGGAGCCGGGACTTCCTGACTGTGCCTTTATTGTGGGCTTTTTCAGATGTCGCCCTCATTTACTTTGATTTAATCTCCACACTCCCATTAACAGAGACTCTGGGCATGGAGACACTGAGCCGAGAGTTTTTACTCATTAGACTGTTCTGAATATGAAAACAAAAAAATAAATAAATAATTGTGTTTTTTCTTAACCTTTATATCTACTCATAAAGTGGTCAAATAAAAACACAAGACAGCAGAAATTCAGTTTTATTGATTGACTGCCATCTAGTGGATGACTGAAGAACAGCATAAAAAAACATTTGAAAGCTTTCTGTTTTTTTATGTAAAAGCATAACACATACATATATAAAATGCAATGATCTGTGAAGAAAAGAGTTAACAGAAAGGAAAAAGAGCAGTTCAAGTCTCAGTCTGGAAAATGGGATGATTCCATCCCATAGTGTTGAATTTCATGCAAATCGATCCCCTTTGTTTTGATTCACCCCTGTGAGATGACCTCATGGGCATTTATATGGTTGTCATTTGATCATTCTTAATGCATTTAAGCCTTTTCTGTGCCGTTTAAGCTTATGTTAAATGATTAAGGTGCCAAAGCACACACGGTGGGACTGACATTGAATTGCATAAAATGTCCTCCGGCTCTACAAAGACAAATACTATTCAAACCCGGCATGATTTCACATGCAAAAACTAAACCATCATCGCTTTTCCTAAGAACAGTCTGGCCGCAGGGATTCTTTTTTATTTTTATTTTTTTAAATACGTGAGCATGCATGATAATCTTACAGGTAAAGTTTCATATAAAAAAACATTTAAAGCTTGTTTCAGTCCACTTATTTAAGACAGAATTCCGGTTAAAGAATATCTACCTGCAACCAATTATATGACAAAAAACATTTTACCAGTGATTGGGCAGTGAACACTTTGAATGTGAAGACAACTATTCTTATTCTTTATTAACCTTTTAAGAATACTCAGAACCACTTGTTTGATAACTTCACTGGTTTAAATACATTTGCATTATTTTCTCTGTCCCTTTTAACCAATATTTTAGCCAAATATCACTAAAGAGAATCAGGTAATGCAAAAAAAAAAAAAGAAACTGATTAAAAAGGTCAAAGGTCATACTGTGCAGAGTTAAAGCTGCTGCGGGAGATTCAGGACTGGAAATTAGCTGTGTGCTTAACTGGATAAAAAATTATATTTTCATCTGAAACCACTCATATCTTTATGTTCATTTGCACAAAAGTATACGCAACCCAATCTTGTAAGAGGCCCCCAAAAAATATCATAAACCTGTTGAAAGTTAAGACAAAGGCACATCAATACTGAGCCTCTTAACACTCTGAACAGAGGAACTTTTTATCTTTGAGCATCTTTTCCCCATATCTTGTCACTAAAAAAAACTTTACTAAAAAAAATGTTGTTTTTTTCTGCCTTACATCTAACACCAGAGGATGGCGCCATTGTCCGGGCTCACCTCCACAGGGTCACCCTCATCTCAACACAATAGCCTCACCTCCACTTGGAGACATCCCCCCCCCCTACACCCATCTCACGTGATATTTCAGATAACGAGCCTTATAACGTTTTGTTTGGGATTTTTACGGTCTAATTACGCGTAAGAACGGGGCCGGCAACACGTTGGAATCGCGAGCCTTTTTGCGCGTCAAGGGCTTTTTTTTTTTTTGTGTGTGTGTGTGTTTGCGTGTCTATGGGAACCAGACCTCTGCAGCAGCCTCATTGGCACATGTCCCGTCGGGGTGGAGCGTAGCTGGGGCCAGCCTCCCCCTCCAGGTTTTTTTTTTTCTGCTCTTGTTTTGTAAGATTCGCATCAGTGCGGTTCCGGAGACACACGGAACGCGCCCCTGCCCCAGAAGGAACGCGCTGGATGCTGGTTTTTTTCTCACCTCGGGACGGAGTCACCGACACATTGAGAGGATTTTTTTATTTTCCTAAATACGCAGAGGAGTATTCCTATCATCCGTTCCGTTTCCAGCCCAGACATCTGAGCGCAGGAGCGTTTTGGACTGTGGAGCTCGGATGCGTGAGGGGAATACTAATGCCGAGGCGCACCGCTTCCCTCCCCGCCGCTGAGGGGCCACAGCAGAGCCCATCCATCACCCAGAGCGCACCGGGCCCTGCCTGCGCACTGCCCCCCCACCCCAACCCGCACCCCCACCCGAGTCTCCGTACCTGAGGAATTTTACGCATTCATCCCTGGAATTAATGGGCCCCATTTGGGCTTTTGGGGCTTTTTGTCTACTAATCTAAGGGGGGGGGGGGGTTGGGGTGGGCGAAGTCCCTCCTAAAGCTGCAGGGGAATATAAAAAAAAAAAAAGGAAAAAGGAAATACGGCAAAATGGGCAACAGCTTTTCCAACATCTCCGCCTTCCAGTCCCTCCACATCGTCATGCTGGGTCTGGACTCGGCGGGGAAGACCACGGTGCTCTACCGGCTGAAATTCAACGAGTTCGTCAACACGGTGCCCACCATCGGCTTCAACACGGAGAAGATCCGGCTGAGCAACGGCACGGCCAAGGGCATCAGCTGCCACTTCTGGGACGTGGGCGGCCAGGAGAAGCTCAGGCCCCTGTGGAAGTCCTACAGCCGCTGCACGGACGGCATCATCTACGTGGTGGACTCGGTGGACGTGGACCGGCTGGAGGAGGCCAAGACCGAGCTGCACAAGGTGACCAAGTTCGCGGAGAACCAGGGCACGCCGCTGCTGGTCATCGCCAACAAGCAGGACCTGCCCAAGTCCCTGCCCGTGGCCGACATCGAGAAGCAGCTGGCCCTGCACGAGCTCACGCCCTCCACCACCTACCACGTCCAGCCGGCGTGCGCCATCATCGGCGAGGGGCTGCACGAGGGCATGGACAAGCTCTACGAGATGATCGTGAAGAGGAGGAAATCCCTCAAGCAGAAGAAGAAGCGGTAACGAAAAAAAAAGCCGAGTCCGGACGCCGTCTTTTTAAGTCTGATTTTTACTGTGATGGAATCCGGGTTCTGCCAGCGTTGCCCTAAACAGGTTTAAACTTTGTGATTTTTTGTTCTTCTATCCTCTGTGGATTAAAGCTCTGTGTGACCCGTGAAGCCCCCGTCTGAATGAAAGGGGGCTACAGGATCCGCAGTGATGTTTAACCAAAAAAAAGACGAATTGATCAAACATTTCGGAGCGACAGCGCGGAGTGAGAGAAACGGCTGGCCCGTGTTTCTGCTGCTTTATCTCGGACTTTGAACACTGAAGAAAGCTGTAGCTCGCTGTGGACTTCATTTGTGGACTCGAATAGTTTTGATTTCCATCCACAGAACTTCTTTGTGGAATCACAAAGTTTGATTTTGCACGACGCAGGGGTCACTTCTGTCCCATGCTCTTTTTTTTTCTTTTTTTTTTTCTTTCTCTTTAAACAGGCATCTGTAGGGTCAGCTGTTGATTATTATAGATGTCATGCAGACTGTTTCTGGAGCATTGAAGTAGCCTTTCCTCTGCATGGTGGACTAAGAACAGTGTCCACTACTTTGCACTTTTCATTTGCTAACAGTAGGAAAACTACACTGTATTAATAGAGGAGCAGATCCAGGTTGTTTATGTACCAAGAAGCCAAAATTGAAGTATTTTTTGAATATTAAAAAGATTTTAAACCCAAAACTTTAACGACTGGTTTCCATTTACATGTGGTGTGGCAGGAGGAAGCGGGATAACTGGTTTTGGACTTCATGGTCATGAGTGACTTTTGGGATTTCTTTATTAGGGATGCATTGGAACGGGAGGGTCAAAGGTCGCGCGGTTCACACATGGTTAACTCTAGGTGTGAACGTCCGCCGCGCAGGGCTCTCTTTTATCATCGGCAACATGATGAAAACGTTACGAGCGAAGCCGGAGCCCATTCGGGAAATTTATGGATCTGCATTGCGGTGCTGCGTTCACCGCAGGAGCCGGCGCTCCGATTGGACCAGAACACTGGAGGTTTCTGTCCTGAATGCAGATTACTCTCACATGTCATTCCCTTAAACGTTAGGCCCGCGTCTGCGGTCGTTTCTGGACAGAAAGAGAACATTTACTGCTCAGTGCAGTGAAAACATTAAAGCTGAACTCGATTTTTGTATCTAAGGGCTTTACTATGACCCGTGCAAAAGAAATAAGCAAGTTTAATGTGTTCGGATACAGAAAACTTGACATTTTACATTGAATCTACAAGCAGATTCACGGCAGTTTGTCCTGAAATCCTCAGGTGAGGCTATATGAGTCTGTAACTCTTTTACTAGGGGACACAACCCTGCTCGGTCTGAACATATGCTGCAGCTAATTTTAGAGGAATCCGTGTCCTGACATTGAGAGCACTGTATTTTAATGGGGCCAGAGCTCGTGGGGAATGAGAATATTAGACCGTACACCCTCCTCAGTGTCGACCTACCTTTTCACTAAAAGATGCTACATCCAGTGAGGAGTTCATAAGCTTTTACAAGTCCAGGGAGGGAGTCTAAAGTTAAAACCTTGTACTGTGTTTTATTCTGTGATTTGTCTTCTCAGGCCTCCTCTCAGGTGAGACTCTGAAAGCATCCTGAGGTTGGGAGCCCTCTAAATTCTACTTAAATGAGAGATATCATCACTTTCACAGCTGTGCACTTTGACATAATAATCTGGTGTCAGAGGGTCTGGCATTCCTGTGGTGTGACTGATTCATCCAGGTTTCAGCGCCTCGTCCCACATCTGCGAAACTGAGATTCCCAAAAATTGGACTAGAATAGAGTTGTAGTGTCTACAAAGGTGTAATAAAAATCAGGATAACAATTTAAATTGACATTTAATGCAGCCACACAAACCAACCATGTATTACAGTCAAAGGACTAATAACAAATACAGTGATAATAAGTTGTAACAACTCAAAATGGACACTCAGATTTAGATCACACAAAGTAGAGACCTGAAATCTGCTGTGTGCTACAATGAACTTTTTTTCATTGTTGTTGTGTTGTAATGTGTTGAACCAGTATAATATAGACTAAGTAGGTATGAAAAAGTAAACTAAAGTTTGAGTTTAACTTAGAGTAATATGAGAAAATATCATTAAAATAGACTTATTTAATTTTCTTTCTACCTCTGGGAGCTAATTCATCTAATCCTTTTCTTTAAGGTTTGGCTGAAAAATGTCTAAGGGAATTTCTCTAATTCCTTCAAATATTGTTAGCCATGTACTTTCCCATTAGGAATGCAGCAGGTTATGTGATGAAAACTCTGAAAATACCTGGTCGCTGACACATCACATCATGCTATAAGTGAAAAAAACTTATATTTCTTGTGACATTGCTGTTCAGAAGAATTTGGTTACTTGTAGACACAGGACTTGAGTTGTAGGAACCCATTTGATGAGTCAAGTAAAAATGAGTCATCTACAAGTAAACATATGACCTTTTATTGGCTGAAACTAGCTTTAAAAGTAACATTTCCCTTTTTTTCATCAGGGAAAGCGTAACATCTGCTTTATTTCATCATTGTACAGCAGATGACCATTTGTCATCCATGTGTAAAGCTAAAATAGCATTCAATCTGGTTGTTATGTGTGGCCATCTAAACAATGGCCGTTGACCAGGATCAGTTAGGTTTTTAATAGTCAAAATGGTAAAGCAGTGAGGATGTATTCTTGTATCTTCATCACAATCTGCTTCTCAAATTTCAACAAGCCTTAAGGTAGTGGCAACATGTGTGTTTTTGCCCAACGAATTAGAAATAAAAAAGCACAAAAATGTGTCCTAACGGACCAAAAAGCTGAAGGTAAAGCCCACTATAAGGTTTATGCAACCCTGAAAAATAGCGTGGTTCCCCCACCCCAAAAAAATCCTGATCTCAGGACTACCCATCACCATGGAAACAGCAACCCAGTCTATCCTCAGCAGTTCGAGACAGAAAAATAGAGAAAGCTTTCCCTCTTGCTCATGCTTCTACTGTTAAAATCTACTTATGACATTAAGCTGCAGAATCGAAGATGTTGAGCTGGTTCATTTGCTCCTCACATTCATCTTCAAGCAGACAAAAGCCCCTTCGGAGCTTTTCCACGGTTTTAAATATTCTGTATTATCTTGTTGTGGCTCTTCTTTGAAGCTATACCATGTTTACAGTGAGTAAAATATTAAGAGACACGATACATTTTTGCCTACAGCTCTACGTATTCCGAAATTCTATATCCTCTGCATTATTTCCCTTTCATTCAGCTTCACAGCCGGGGGTTTCATGTAAAATTAACAAGCATAGGTTCAAATAATTAAAATTTGCAGACTGAACTAGTGTGTGTGTGTGTGTGTGTCTGTGTGTGTGCATGTATAAGATACCCGACACCCTGATACAGTACAAAGAAGCTGTCTTTTCATTGCAGTGAATTTAGATGTTCGGTCCTTCATTTTCTTCACATGTAAAAACTATAGAGGAAATTAATTTAATCTTGATGCATTCTTGTTATCTCAATCTTCAGAGAAGCCTAGATCACACTAATTGGCCATTATTTAATATTTTGATCAAGAGGGGCCATATCCCCCAAAGAATTCAGTTTTAGAGAAAAGAAAGAGTGTTTGCCAGAGTTTTAGCTGAAAATGACAATATATTTACTTATATTTACTATTTCACCTGACAAAAACCTCACTGTACTTCCTCAGAAGTGCATCTTACAGTCTGATAAAGGGTCCAAGTGTGTGTGCAATTATCATTTTGGCTGTGTTAGGAGTAGAAGCGTTCTACTGTATCACAATCTGATCTGTGTTGGGGCACACAAAAAGAGGAAAAAGGAGATTTTTGAACCATCAAAGCAAGTGGTGGAAAAGGACACGAGTAGAAAAGAACAGACCGGACGTTCAAAGGACTCAATTTTAGTCCAATGTTTCTGAAGCTAAGCCTATTTCCAGCTGCTCCGAACTTAAAATGCCATTACTTATCATGTGGATTAAATTCCTGTAAACAAAAAACAACGGCTGATTTAAATCTCTAAATAACTTCTCTCTCGTATTTGTGTCTTTCTTTCGTTGAAAGCGAAATCAGGATTAACGGCGGGCGAGCAAAACTCCAGCTGTCTGACCCGTTTGCCGGTTTGAAGCTGCAGCTGGAAGGTCTTCGCATTCACACGAGGCGCCGCGTGTTTGGCTTTCAAACCCGGGCGCCACCAAACATGCGCAGCCTCCAGAGAGCGCGGCCTTTGTTGCGTCCAGAGCTTTTTCTGGCTGCAGAAATTAGGTCTGACTTTTGTCAACAGTAGCCGGAGAGCAGAAAACACCAAAAAAAAGAAACAATTTACATCTTCTCGCAATGGCTTTCGAAACGACCCGGGTATTTTCTGACCTGATTCTTATGTCCGAATAAACGTGCAAAAATACTGACTGACCGTCTACTGTAGAAGGTTTGGGGAAAGTCTGGACGAGGCATGAAAGGCTTTAGCATTTTCACGCCCATCCAAACCATCATCTCCTGAATGGTTTCAGGAGAACACAGTCTGAATCCCATCCACCCGGTACCAGACAACAGCTTCAGAATACACAAATTTCACTGAAGAATTGGGCAATGGCTGAAGGAGCATTCCTGGATTTGATTAATTAAGATTCAGGAACACAGCATTATCTCCTGTACATGGTCTTTCAGACTATGTGGCGAACAAAAATCAAATCAAACTGAAAATAACAGTTAAAACGCGCCACAAAACATAATGGATCATTTGTCCTGCTCATATTGCTCAACAGGAATGGTAGAGGGGTCCAAAGTTGAGAAGCAACAAACTCCAAAACACAGCCTTGAATGGGCTGGACCATGCGAGGATCTGAATGTGGAAACAAGACGTTCAAACTGGAATCAGATCATTCAGAGAACATCTGGCCAGACAATCAAAATGGGAATCACGATCATTTCCATCTCTGCCCATGGTACGATAAACCTAAATTTGGCAATATATCCTAGCTGAT